AGCACGGGGCTGGGGGAGCCCCACGTCCCTCCTGGCCCCTCCTGCAGCCCTGGACCTGCCGGGAGGAGCGGAGCAATCCCTGCTGATGATCGGCGAGGACCAGGAGCGAGCGGTGCTGGGGCATGGAACGGGAGGATGGAGGTGGCAGGTCCTGAACGTGGGATCTGCTGGGCCAGAGAGTGTCAGGGACCTGGACGTTTGCCCCATCGGATCTCAGTTTGATGTCTTCACCATATCACCCGCTGCTGCCTCGCAGGGGTCAGAGCCCGCCCCTAGCCGGACTGTCACATCCACATTGGAAGATAATTAGCAATAATGAACTTTGAGGCAATGGTAACTGGAATCCCCAGGCTGCACATGGGACACGTATGCAATCAGGTTCTTCAACCATCAGTCTCCTCCTGGTTGGCTTCTCTTCCAGCACCTTCCATACCTGTTCTTCACAGCACACCTACATGTACAGTATATATAGACCTTATACGGCATAACAGTAGTGAGTTGGCTCTTGGGAGTGGCAACACCCACGGATTCCCATGTACCCTTTAATCTTATTTATTTGCTTCTAATTTATACATATATATATAAATATATATAAAATTATTTTGCTTAAATTTCTATGGTACACAATAGATGAAAAATAATGAAGACAGAAGTGTCTGTCTGAGTTTTTGTAGCACCATTTCCCTGGGCTCACCCCCGAGGTAGGATGTAGGGCTGATGGCAGCCGGGTAACTCCCAAAGCGGAGAAGCAACACGTTACCCCAGAGCTGGATGCGGGAGCGTTCAGGCAGTGTTACACAGGCATCCCCTTCTGGGAACGCTGCATCTGGGGTTTGAAGGGAGGTGCTCGGTGTCCCCCCCCTTGCTCCAGGCCACTTCCCGGCTCCATGGGCATTGCAGCGTGGTTTGTGGTGGCAACCAAAGCTGCCCAGGGTGGGGCTTATTGTGAAAGGGGCTGGAAATGGAGCTCATCAGCTGCCTCATGTGCCCTGTCTGCTCTGTCAGTGCAGCTGGAGGGGTGAGGAGCTCCTGCCCCGGCTGTTCCCCATCCAGGAGCCAAGCGTTCCCACGGCAGAGGAGAGCTCAGTAAGTGCTGGCACCGAGGGTCCTGCTGGGCTCTGGGAGCCTGGGACGTGCTCTCTGCTGTACCCCATTGCTGCTGCCGTTTTGAAAGCCCATCCCAGACCCCGCTCAGCCCCGTGGGGCAGCGCCAGGAACACCCCAAGGCAGAATTCCCTCTTTTTTGAGGCTGATTTTAAGAATTCCACTCTTTGGAGACCTCCTAACGGCAGCACTTACCCACAGCACATCCCCTGCTCTTTCTGTTGCCCCTCCCCGAGGATTTTAATGTCATTCCACTGTAAATGCTGTCGGATGTATTTCTTTTGGAACAATATATTGTGAGTGATCCCTCTTCTCCTACACAGAAATAAAACTTGGATTCGGGAGTTTTAAAAGCCGCAGTGCTGAGATGGTCACTCGCTCCCCCAAGGATGCAGGTGCGGGGCATGGAGGAGCCCTGAGGTGGGTGAGCTCCGTGGTGGATGGTAGGTGGGGTGGCCAGGGAGAGGATCCAGAGAGGGGATGGACTGTGGGAGGTAGCTCAGGGAAGGAGATGGCCCAGGGATGAGGGCTTTAAGGGGTGGCACAGGGGACAAGGGGCGTCGATGGAGAAGGATCAGGTTGCCCAGAGAGGAGATGGTGCAGGGAAGGTGGTCTGGGGAGAGGGAGGGGAGGACAGGGGAGGAATTGGCTCAGCAGGGACTGTCCAAGGCTGGAGATGTCCGAGGGGAGGTCTAGGAAAGCAGGAACACGAGAGGACGTCCAGGGGCAGGGACCCATGGAAGAAGGTCGTCCAGGAGGAGCTTAGGGGAGAAGGGGGAAGCCCAGGGGAGGAGAGCACCCGGGAGGAGATGTCCCAGTGCAGGTTGGCCAAGGCAGAAGGTGGTTGCCCAGGGCAGAGGAGAGGTGGCCCAGGGGAGCTGCAGGCGGGTGGGGGAAGCCCAGGCAGGCTCAGACTGGTTGGAGGCTGCAGCGTTGCCAGGAGACAGGCACACACAGCGCAGCCTGTCCCGCTGTCCCATCCCAATGTCCCGTCCTGTCCCGCTGTCCTGTCCCTCTGTCTTGTCCCGTCCCACTGTCCTGCCCACACCAGCCCAGTCTGATCAGGTAAGCAAAGGTTTGGGTTGGGGACCCTCGTACCGCACCCGCTCTGTCCATGCAGGCCCTGGAGCTGGGGAGGAGCATCCCTGCACTGGGTGCAGACAGCAGCACATGGGGCACACGGCCCCAGGTGAAGGCCTGGCAGCTCCAGTGTGCCGGAATCTTGGCTTCAATGGGAGGCAAAGCTGTGTCCTACAGCACCTGCAGAGCTGCCGGTGCCACGGCGCTGGAGCTGGGGGGCTGTGGGGATGTCGGTGTGTTCGCTCTGAAGCCTGATGAGTGCACGGGGGCTTCTAGCGTGTTACCCTCACCTTGCCTTGTGTTGCAGGCCTGGGGGCAGGCATGGAGCTGGAGGAAGCTGTCTCCAAAGGCCAGACCCGCAGTAAGACTGCAGCCAGAGGGATGTCTGTATCTCCCCGTGCCTTTGGTCCAGTACTGCCAGGGACACGCTTGTCCCATCCACGCCACAGCGGAGCAGTTTGGAAGCCCTGGGTGAAACAGGCCAGGGCTGCTGCTGCTGCTGCTGCCCTCCCTGCCTGCTCCCCACTCCCCAGCACAGGGGGTTTGCCCCCCAGGGCTTTAGGAGCTGCTGCTCTGTCCTGACCTGCAGCACTGACTTCCTCCTCTCTTCAGGGCTGGGCCCAGGGAAGCTGCTGGGATTTGCAGGATCCTGGGCAAGGAAACACCAGGACCAAGGGCTGGACCCCGCTGATGCCCAGCACAGCCAGGTGTGGGGCAGGGGGTCACGTTGTGGGGGTGCAGTGGGACAGCCCCGGGGGGCACTGATGGAGGGTGCGCAGTGCCCCATGCCCTGGTGTCCCCTCTGCAGCACCACAGCCTGGGCACAGGCAGCGGCAGGGACGGTGCCATCGCTCCTGACACCTTCCTCAATGGCTCCTGGCTGGCTGGTGAGTGGGGACAGGGCACTTGGGTGCTCTCCTAGCTCTGCCTTGCCCCCTGTCCCGCAGTGATGCCCGGTGGGGACAGGCACATGGCAGAGCAGCAAGGGCTGGGAGAGCAAACCTGGTGCTGGGAGATGTCAGAGGGGCTCCCGCAGAGATCCCAAAAGGTGGGTTGGGAGCAGGGCTCTCCCATCAGGCAGTGGCTTCCCATAGTTTGTGCTTGAAGAGCTAAGAGCATCCTCCCCTGTGCCCTGCAGCCCCAACAAGGCTTTGTGCTGCACCCACTGAGCTGAGCTGCTGCAGCAGCGCCCGGGAGCGTCCATCAGAGGAAACATCACCAGGGTTATAAACCCAGGAGGGGATGTTGGAACTTTGTGTTTTGAATCCCAGAATCCCAGCCTGGTTTGGGTTGAAGGGACCTTAAAGCTCCTCCAGCTCCAACCCCTGCCACGGGCAGGGACCCCTTCCACTAGAGCAGCTTGCTCCAAGCCCCTGTGTCCAACCTGGCCTTGAACACTGCCAGGGATGGGGCAGCCACAGCTTCTCTGGGCACCCTGTGCCAGCGCCTCAGCACCCTCACAGGGAAGAGCTTCTGCCTCAGAGCTCATCTCAGTCTCCCCTCTGGCAGGTTAAAGCCATTCCCCTTGGCCTGTCCCTACATCCCTTGTCCCAGGCCCCTCTCCAGGTCCCTGCTGGGGAAGGAGCGGCTGAAGTCGGGATCTGGCTGGGGAGGGTGGGAAGAGTCCAGGGTTCGGGGAGCACCAAATGCTCCCCGGTGGGACCGGGCGGTGCCGGTGCCCCGGAGCTGGGTCCCACGCGGGTGTCCGGGTCCGGCGCGGGGTGCTCAGGGCTCTGCTCTCTCCCGCAGCTCTGCCGGGACCCGGAGCCGGGTGTCCCCGGGGCGGCGCCAGCGCTGTCCGGGGGGAGCAGCGCTGCCGGGGGCTGGCTCCGCTCCTGGGCTCCCGGCCCCTCCCGGGGGATCGGGGCAGCTCCAGCTCCGTCCGCACCGAGGACTTGGCGGACAGGCTCCGGGCGGGCGCGGCGCGGCCCCTGCTGTCCTCGGAGGAGGAGCCCGCTGCGGGCCGTGCTCCTGGGCCCGATGAGCCCTTGCTCCCCGCAGGGAGCAGCCCTCGTGTCCGGCCGCCCTCGGTGCAGGGCAGGTCCCTAGCGCTGGTGAGGGCGGGGAGCCTGGAGTCCCTGGGAGGGAGGATTTCCAGCCTGAGCCGGAGCGGAGCTCTGGGGGTGAGCGGAGGGGGGGCCCGGCCAGGGCCCTCCCCGCACCCATCCCTGGCCCTGGGCGCCTCTCCCCACGGACAAGAGCAATGGGGCATCACCTGGGGCGGGCAAGGGAAGGACCCGGCTGCCCGGGGTCCGCGGGGAGCTGCGGGCCCTGTGCCACGGACCGGCTACGCCAGGAGCAGGGGGCACCGCAGCAGCGAGGCCCCGGTCCCGCTGCGGCGGGAGGCACCCCAGGGACAGCCCGGGAGCGGTGCGAAGGGAGGAGCAGGCAGCAGATGGGTCCGAGCTCCCTGCGCCCCTCCCCGTGAGTCCGGGCTGGCTGCAGGGTGCTGGGGGTGCCAAGCATGGGGAAGGGGCATGGCCGGGGCAGGCACCCCCTGGGCACGGCACCAGTTGCTCACGGGCTGCGTGGGCTCCCCCCATCCCCAAATGCCGTTTCTCTCACCGGTCCCACAGCATCAGGACCCCTCGGGGGATGTGGGGCCGGGGCGGACGGGTCACCCCGCCCTGCACGAGCGGCCCCCTGGCTGCGTGGGAAGCAGGGGGTTGTCCTGCCCTGCAAGGTACGGCCCCAAACACAGCCCCCGAGGGACGGCTGTGCCCTGCTGTGGGGTACCGAGGGGTGGGGGCTGCCCAGGGAGCAGCCCCGGCTGTGTCGGGGTGCACGGGGTGGGAATGGGCTCCTGGAGACCAAACCTGGTCCTGATCCTCGTGTCCCGTGTGGTGGCCATGGGGATGCGGTGGGAAAGGACAATGGGTTTGTCGCCAGCATGCAGCGAGGCGGCCGGTGTCGCTGCATTGGTCTCCGCAGGGGAGGCAGGAGGGGACATGGGACACAGGAGCTGCTGCAAAGGGGACTCGGAGCAAAGTGGACAGAGCCAGGTACTGTGGGTCCAGGGATGATGGATCCTGTGCTGAGGCTGGAGACACAGCTCGGGGATGCTCACAGGTGCCAGTGCCTGGGAGCAGAACGTGACACTGGGAGCCCAAGGAGGGTTCTGGACCGCTGGTGCTGAGTGGGCATCTGTGGGGCCGCTGTCTGCAGTGGTGCCAATGGGGAAGTGGGTGATGGTGTCCTCCCTGCAGGGCTGGGCTGGACGCGTGCTGCTGGGACCCGATGGGCCTGGAGAGGATGGTGAGGTGCCCTCGAGCTGGGCAAAGCGGGGTGGCCAGGGACAGCCCCGGTGGCAAGGACAGGCTGGGGGACAGGGGGCTGCAGGGGCTGGGCTTAGGGAGGGTAGAGCACTGGGGCTCCTGAGCGCCGCAGAGGGACCAGAGCCGGCTCCCGGAAGAGACAAGGACATGGGAGGTGGAAAAGGGGGATTTTCCAGTGTTGGCAGGGGCAAAGAGCCTGTGACTGCTGCCAGGAGGGGCTGGAGATGGAGAGGAGGAAAAGAATGGCTTTGCAAGAGGAGAAACTGGAGCTACAGAAGGTCAGTGGCCTCCTGGCTTCCCAGCACGGTCAGGATCACACTGGAGGTTCCCTGGGAAGGAGCGCTTCACATTCCCCGCTGGAGGCTAAGCCCCTTAGCCAGGCATGCGCATGTCCTATGGGAAGTGTTCAGCGCTGCCCAGATTCCTAAGGAGCCAAACTAAATTTACCTGTGGGAAGGGTTTATTGAGGGCTGGAGCTTCGGAGGGAAGGGTTTGTCAGGAAACGACTCTTCGGCTGTGCTCAGGCCTGGCCATTGCTCTGAAGAGTCCCAGCAGAGGCCCCTGGGTGCAGGCAGGGCTTGATGCCGGGTGGTGATCCTGGTGCTGGTGACCCTTCCCCAGCAAACCCCAGCTCTTCCCGGGGTGTCACCACCCCCTGTGCCTGGCTGAGGGGGGGCTCGGGGTGTCCTGCACAGTGACTGCCCTTGGGAAGAGCAAGGAGGGGGGCACGGGCTGCCCCAAGGGGTGGCGTGAGCCCAGCTTCTTCTGCAGAGGCTCCGGGAGCTGGAGCATCGCTCCCACTGCCTGCTGCGGCAGAGGCAGGAGGTGCTGTGCCGGCTCCATGTGCTGCTCCTGAAGGAGAAGGTGGACGCCCTTCAGCAGCTCCAGGAGGCTCTGGAGCAGGTGGGGAAGGGAGAAAGGAATGGGGGGGATATGGAATAACTCAAGGGCACTGGAGCTGAATGAACACGGGCAGGGTCCATCTGCCAGCACACACCATGGCCTGTTGTGTTCAGCCACAGCCAAACCACCCGGTCCAGGGGCTATGGCTCACACAGGGACGGGAGCAGCACTGGGGAGCACATCAGCCCAGATGTGCTGCTCCCCCGGGGTCACCCTGGACTGCTGGGTGCAGCAGGCAGCAAGCTCAGCAGCTTGCACTTTGGCAGGGCTGGGGATGCTCAGGGAGCAGAAGAGATAGCCCATCGGGTGCCTTCGTGCCTGCTCATTCCAACCCCTTCCTGCTCAGCCCTATGCGTACAAGGTGGCTCCAGGGCTTTCCCAGGAGCTCTGACCTGGCTGCAAGGCCAGCAGTTTCTATAAGAGGCTGAATGGAGCTGGGGGGCAGACCTGGGGGTGCGGGTTCCGCTCTGATCCTTGCCTCTCCCAGCAACTGCTCCTCAAGGAAAGGGCTGTCAGGACCGCACGGCTGCAGCACCGCCTGAGCCACCCATGGGAGCAGGCTGGGAGCTGCCCGGCCACGGGGACCACCTCAGCGTGCCCGTGCCAACACAACCTGCACCCCATGGGGCAGGGCCCGCTGCCGGCAGCGGTCAGGTGAGTCCCATGGCTGCAGGGTGCTCACGCACAGGGGGGTGATGTGGGCTCCTGTGGAGGAGCCATGGGTGCTCCTGGGCTGGCTGTGGGCTGTGTCCTGCAGCTCCTCTCCTCTCCCCCAGCCCCGCGCTCCGTGTCCTGTGTGGCCTCCGGGATCAAATCCAGCAGCACATCAGGGAGCTGCAGAGGGAGCCCAGGGACGCGCCGGCTGAAGGAGGGAGGTGATCTGGGATTGGGGATGGGTCTCTCCCTTTGGAGCCATTGAGCCAGGGAGGGCTTCGACTGATGGTGTCTGACCCAGGAAGCAGCCCTCGCTGTGCCCTCTGCCTGTGCCACGCAGCTGGGGGCTGAGGGTTTGGTGATGCTTCTATAGAATCCCAGCCTGGTTTGGGCTGGGAGGGACCTTAAAGCTCCTCCAGCTCCAACCCCTGCCACGGGCAGGGACCCCTTCCGCTGGAGCTGCTCGCTCCAAGCCCCGGCCCTTCCAAACTGGTGACCTTTTCCTCTCTCATGCACAGAGATGGAGTGAAGACCCGTGCCCCCGTCCCACCTCTTCCTTGTCCCTGAGTGCCGCGCCTGCCCTCCCACAGCACGGCCATGGGTCCCTGGGGCTCCTGCACCACCTCCGGGAGCTGCAGCCTGGGTAACCTGACAGTGCTGGAGGAGAACCGGGCACCACAGCACAGGAGGCACAGGGACAGCCTGGGACAAGGGACCTGCCTTCTGCCACAGCCTCACCCGAAGACTGAGCCAAAGCAAGCAAGAGGTGCAGAGTCCACCACCTGCTTTTCCCTCTCTCCGCATCTCACTGGAGAGGAGGACACTGTCTTTCATTCACAGGAGTGAGTCCAAGGAGGGTTTCTCCATGTGCAAGGGGGGGGATGCCAGTTCCCTGCAGTATTTTCTTCCTATGCCTCCTTCCAGGAGAAGGGAGGGAGGGGATTGCAATAGCTGGGTGCTGACTTTCAGGCTACGTCAGAAGGGCTTTTCGTGGTGGTTTCTGCAGTGCTGGGCTGGGGAGGTTTCTGGAATGATTTGTAATTCCCAGTGGTTCCCTTGCCGAGGTTACTACATGATCTGAAGTTTCACAAAGAGCTTTGTGGTGCAGACTCGGTGTATTTTGTTGTTCTGAAGAACTTTGAAGCCCCAAATGCTTGCAGAAGTCCATGGACATCTTTGCGAAGAGCAGGATGAGGTTCCTGGCCATATGGATAATACCAGGGAAGACAAGTCTGACTCTTTAGCAGGAGGTTGAGGCAGGAATGCTCCCCATATCTCTGAATGATCACAACGTTTTCATCACTGGGAATTTCACCTCTTCCCCGTTGGAATCTCGGTTGTTATGAAGGTTTTGGTTCTGGGGGTGGTTGAAGACATTGTAAGTGGAAGATCAGCCACGGTTAACTTTGCTTTAGTGATGGGCTTTCATAGCTGACCTTGCTGGTTCTTCTGCTGTTCATGGAAACGGTGGGGTTTGCTTCTCCAGCAAGGGCTGATGAATGAAAATAGTCAGGGAGGCTTTGAGCTCGCATGGTAGGAACTGTTGGAAAGGGGCTATGAATGCTCAGGGGGGATTCAGATCTTGGATATTCTTTTGTTGTTCCTGTTGGAGGACCTGTTGATGTAAAGAAACAGCTCTGAACAGTGGAAATTCAATTATCCCACATCCAAAGCCAGCCGCTGCTCTGTTTCGTGCACAACAACGTCTATCCCAGGAGCAGGGGCAAACCATCCTGAGATTCGGTGATTCTACTGCTTCTTCTAAAGTGCCTAAAGTGCAACCGTTCTGTCCTCAAATCAGGTCCTTATCTTGCATTTGCATTTGCATGTCCAGGCTGCTTTGCGTGTTCATGTAAGGTCTTTGGTTTTGCTCTGGAGTTGCTTTGTTCCAGCAAGCCAGGGGATGAAATGAGGAAGAGCAGCATCCTCTGCAGGAAGATGATAGAATCACAGCCTGGTTTGGGTTGGAAGGGACCTTAAAATCGTTTAATCCCGACCCCTGCCACAGGCAGGGACCCCTTCCACTAGAGCAGCTTGCTCCAAGCCCCTGTGTCCAACCTGGCCTTGAACACTGCCAGGGATGGGGCAGCCACAGCTTCTCTGGGCACCCTGTGCCAGCGCCTCAGCACCCTCACAGGGAAGAGCTTCTGCCTTAGATCCAACCTGACCTTCCCCTATTTCAGTGTGAACCCATCACCCCTTGTCCTATCGCCACAGTCCCTGAGATAACTTTTGAGCATTTTCTGTCCTGTGGGCAGAAAGCAAAGAGCAGGGACCGGGCAGATCCTCAGGGCAAGGAGGACTCCTCCAGTAACCGCTTGAAGCGGAGCAGGGACCCTGTGAGGGTTCAGGGGTAATGTCGGCTGTGAGGGTGGGAAGTGTCCTCTCTGCGGTGCCCCACAGAGAAGCCCCACGAGCACAGCAGCTGCGATGAGAAGGGGATGGGGAAAACATTCCCTCTGCCTTGCCTTGGTGAGTGCTCAGAGGAGCCCTGTGCGGGAGAACTGGCAGGCAGGAGGTGGCAGGAGATGCGTGTCTGGAACGTGCTCCTGTAACCTTCCTGTGGTGTAAAACGGGGGATCCCTGGGATGTCCCATTGCTGCCGTCAGCTCCTGGGCAGTGGATTAAGGTCTCCTGCCACCAAAGCTGCAAAATGGCCTTAAAACTAACTGGTAAAGAGGGAGTCGCTGGATTTAGGGAATGGTGCTTCCATTGGGTGCACCAATGCACTGGTGCTTCCCTGGCTCCTCCACAAGGTTCTGGGGCTTGGCCAAGTCCTGCCGGGCAGTGCCAGCTTTGCTGCTGCCGAAGATGTCGCTAATCCCAAGCAGGCTCATGCCTTGTTGCCTCCCAGACCGTAGCTGTGTAGCCAAGAGGAGGTGTAGGTGCTGGGGCTGAGGCTGGAGCGAGCCTGTTGCTGTACAGCTGCAAGGCACAGGGCTCCTGCTGGGGCCTGGCTTTGGTCCGTTTGTCTCCAGCATCATCAGTGTCGAGTTTACTCTGCAGGAAAAACACAAGTTACAAAAGGGGGAAAAATCAAAGTCAAAGCTGACACCTGCCAGTGTGCAGGGAGAGGGTGAATCTCCTTCAAATGCTCACTAATTCCCTTTGCTCCTGCACTGCGGGTCACAGCCCAGCCATTCGTTACCGGGGCTCTTCAGTCTGCAGGAGGGTAACTACCACAGAGAATGAGCCCTGCTGAGGGGTGCCCCGTGGGCCTGTTGGGATACACTGCAGAGATGAGGGTCTGACAGGACAGACCTGCAGCATCCTCCCCCTCTCTTCCCCATGTTCTTGCACAAGAATCCCCTGAGGGGATACTGGAACTTTTTCTTTTGAATCCCAGAATCCCAGCCTGGTTTGGGTTGAAGGGACCTTAAACCTCACGCAGTCCCAACCCCTGCCACGGGCAGGGACACCTTCCACTGGAGCAGCTTGCTCCAAGCCCCTGTGTCCAACCTGGCCTTGAACACTGCCAGGGATGGGGCAGCCACAGCTTCTCTGGGCACCCTGTGCCAGGGTTCCAGTGGTTCAAATGGTTCCAGCAGTTCAATGGGTGCTCACTTCCTCACCTGCCTTTCCTGGGTGCAGGGGATGTGCAGCCCCCCTGAGCTGGAGGGAGCTGCTAGAGGCAGAGCTGATGTGCCCCCGCCTGAGCTCCCACTTGGCAGCATCCACAAGGCTCTTTCCCTGGCTCCTCGGGCTCAATCCACTAATGAGGATGAGATGTGCTTGCTGCAGGGGGGCAGTGCAAGAGCAGGGATCCGGCTGTGCCTGCGTGCTTGGCTCTGTGGGTGCTGTGGCTGACACGTACACGTTCACATCCATGTAACACAGGGTGTAATGAGGTTGAAAATGGAAGCACAGTGAGGCAGAGGCACAGCGTGATGCCAAAACAGAGTCTTGCAATGAGAAGCAAGAAGGGGTGTGCTGTTAAAGCGGAGACATGGCACGAGCTGCAGAAACCAAGGTTCTGGTTGAAATGCAGAGTGAGAACAATGCAAAGGGATTTGGTTGGGAATGCACAAACTGGTGGGAAGGAAAAATGCTGAGGAGACAGACACGAAGGAAGAGACAGACCTGTGAAGGAGAAGCTGCACAGTGCATCGGGGACCCGAGGAGGGACAGGCCAGATGACTTCAACCTGTGTCACTGGAAACTACACACCCTGATGCTTCTGCCTTGCCTTGTGCTTGGAGGGCCTCTCAGGCAGAGCAGCTTCACGACCCCTTGATAGCATCTGGTACAAGATGTGTCCCTGTTGAAGGCAATGCAGGGATGTGAGAGCAGCAGTTAACGTTAATTTAGTGTAATCCAAGCCTGGTTGAAAGCTGGATGGAATACCCGGAGCCACCGCTCTGCACCAGAAGTGATGGACTGTCGTGTAGGGGAAAGAATGAGAACGGGATGTGCTTAGAAAGAATCTGGAAAGTTCTGCTGAAGCAACGTGGAATTTGAGATGCTATGGAAAAAATCCTTTAAGAAGGTGCTACCTGACAATGGCTGTTTGATAGCGTTTTGTGCACCTGCGGCAAGGGGTGGACTAGGGAGGATTTGAGAGATCTCAATCAAGGATTAAACAGCACGAGCACCATGGGACTGCGTGGTTAAAGCCGGGATTCCAGCCCTGCTGGACCCTTCGCTGCGTGGGCTTGGCTGACATTTCCGATAGCATCTATTTAGTTAAAGGTTTCCAAAGCTGCCCCCACGCTGAAACCTGCTCAGTGCAAAGAGCATGAGCTGGGAGGGCCTCGCTGCCAGCACCGGCATTGAATCCTTATTGGGGTGAGAAGAGGTCTGGGGTATGGGGAAGGGGTAAGGAGGAGCTTTCAGAAATGAAATGCTCTGGGTAACAAAAAGCCTTTTCTTCAGGAGGAGTTTAACAGGAATTGCTGGAGAAAGGCTGCTAGGAATGAAAGCCCTCTATTGAAGACCTCCTGTGTGAAAGCTGCCCCATCACTCACTGCAGGCACCGCCACACAATCCCATCAGATCCTCTCTTTTTGTGGCATAACTCATTTTAATCAGGTTGGAGACCTGAACTGCTCATTTCTTTTGTGCTCTTTATGTTGGCAGTCTTTTAATGGGGCTGCAAGGACGGGTTGGGGCTGCCTCTCCCTGGTACCTGGTTTCCACATGGCTTCTGGTGAGGTGAAAATTCAGACCTTGCTGAAGGATGGAAGGGGTAATAGATGAAAACGCACCACGAGCATTCACCTCTGCCGTCTATAGAGAGGAAATAAAAGCATAGGCGAGAGACCCTGTAGCACAAGGGCAAACCCCAGGGAAAGCTGTTTTTTGTAATCAGGGAAGCTAATTCCAGCAGTTGTCATCTGTCACCATTTCCACTGTGATAACGGTGACCATGGGTGTGTGGATCCGGCTTTTCCCCTTGCCAGGGGTGCTTGGGACTCCTCCTTATGTGTTACTCAATGTTCCTCTATTCAAAAACCCCGAAGCTTCCAGCTCTCAGGTGGAAAAACCTGAGCTAAGCAAACCCTGGCAGATTTTTGAGGCTTGCTTTTTGATTTGCTTATAAAGATAGGAGGTTTAAAAAGAAAACCCTTCTACGTTTGCATATATCCAGGTAGAGACGTGACCTCTTAAAACTCGTGCTGCTGTTATGATTCTGGGGCCGGCTTCTCTCCTGGTTGA